AGGGGGCTCAACACACATCCCTGAGGAGAGCCAGTGCTGAGGGTTATGGTGGAGGAGGAGAGGTTGTGGATCCTCACTAACTGTGGTCTGTTTGTTAAAAAGTCTAGTCCCCAGTTGCAAATGGAGGGGCTTAGTCCTAGTGTGAATAGTTTGTCCATCAGGGTTTGGGGGATCATGGTGTTGAAGGCGGATGTGAAGTCCACAAAGAGCATACGGACGTAAGAGTTTTTCTGCTCCAGGTGGTTGAGCGCAGTGTGGACCACAGAGGAGATGGCATCCTCTGTTGATCGGTTCTCACGGTATGCATACTGATGAGGGTCCTCATTGATGTTGATGGACAATAAAGACAATTCGGTGTAGAGGCAGGGCAGCCAGCTCAGGACCTGAAAGTCCCAGGTTCAATCCCCAGTCATTGCACATCTCGTGGTGTCTCTGAGCAGCACACTCTATCCCCAATCGCCCCCCGGGCACCACCAACAGCCGCCCACCGCACCACCCGGGGGTGGATGGGCCAAGTGCAGAGAGCCAATTTCACCATTGTATGTTCCCATACAATGGTGATAACACATTAGTATTATTATATTTTAGCTCTGGAGCGAACGTGAAAACTGAGTCATTTCTCCATTCTCCTCTGTGTCAACGCTCTCCAGTACAAATTAAAGGGCCGAATGTCCGATAATGTCTAAAATTAACATTCAAGCTGAATAAAGCTGAGTACATGATGTCTTGAACCACTTTGGCTGTGGCTGCCTGGGAGGAGTCGACGGGGGACAGGACAGCCCCCAGTAACCATCTTATCACCAGCAAACTAGTTGGTCCACTGTTTAGTGTACTGCTTAGTTGGGAAACCAGTTTACTTGTGACTCCTCAGACTGATGAAGCCCTCTGGATAGAGAACGAAACGTCTTTCCACAAAAAAGAAACAGTCCAGATGACATATCCTGATGCATGCTCAATAATCCAGATGACCTGACTGACCATTATTGGATTTTGTACCTGGATAATTGCACATGAACTTTGAAAGCTGAGTACAGTGTGAATAAAATAATGTTCGTGTGTCTCTAATTTTATTTAATCAAAAAACTTACAATTTACAGTATTTGTATGGTTTTGTTTTATAGCTGAAGTAAATGTTTAAACATAAGGTTACTTACTGTTCCCCACATTAACTGTGCTAACATCACCAGTAACAGCTAACAACAGATGTTAGTCAGCAGCAGTCACCTCACAGCCTGCCTCTCACATCTGGACACAGACACCAGCTGTGTCCCTCAGAGGACAGACAGCTGGAC